TAAGGTTCTGCTCTTGGCTAGAGACAGGATACTAGGTCTCAGTACTTGCTAGGTGCAATGTGTCCTTCCCACTTCCAGCCATCACTCTGACTTCAGTACAGCTGTTCTTGCATCAGTATTTTGTCAGTATCGATCTTGGTTTTGTCACTAAGCATTTGAAATGTGTTGCTTTTTAAAAACAGAGTATTTTAAACACATTTCAAAAGTATAGGAAAGAGCACTATGCATGACTGTTGAACAAGGTCAATTTCAAATCAGCAAAGTTTCCCAAATCCAGACAAGTAGTGCCTGAGCAGGATACCTTTCTTATACCTCACACAACTTAAACCAGAGGGATGTTATACCAGCAGATTGAGACTTAGAAACCATGATGTCCCTAAGCCAGCCAGAACTGCAGACCTCCCCTGTCAATTGGCCAGTGAATTCAGATCGATGGTATAAGTGAAATATTTAACTTCTTCCCCACAGGTCAACACCTCTGTCTCCAAATGAATCCTATGGATATGCTGATGGATAGAGAAAAATTGACAAGTGGCTTGAATTCCTGAGTCATGTGAAAGACTCTGTTTAGTCTGAGTCTAGTCCTGCTAAAGAACTGGAGAGGGTCTTCAGATTTTATAGTGGGGGGTACAGCATTTCCATAAATTCAGCTTTTGAGAGCTGCGGTTTAACAGGATTTTCCTTACTATGGCAGAAATGACCCAGGATGCTACAGAGCCCACTGCTCCCTGAAGAGAGTGCAGAGTCCTCTCACAGCTGAGAAAGCTGTATCAGTTTCCACAGCCACAGGGCATTAAAATCAGAAAACACATAGTACACCAAAGAGCAAATATTTCAGTGGAAAGGCATAATGGCTCCATTTGTTCCTGCTTTGCTGTTCTGCACACCCTGCAGGAGAAATATCTGCAGAAAAGAATGAAAAATGCACATGCTGTAGCTTGTTTCCACATGGGGAATTATCTCCATCCTCTTAAACTGAAGACTGTGTGTAAGTAATGTCTTGGACTAACACATATCTTGATGAACACACACTGATTCACTCTGGGGAGATAGAGACAATTTGGTGAATATCTGTGGACAGCTCTGGGATCAGCTAAAATGTCTCACATTTTCTGTTTGAAGGCAGAGCTGAAAACAGCTAGGGATCTTCTGGCACAGACTTTTTGCTGTGATAAAGACTGAAAATATCATAAAATATAGATCTCAGGTGTCATAAGATATCCAGATAAGACATCATTCAAAAAGAGAGAAACATAGGTAAAAACTATTTGGTCCATTTTCTGCTCTTGCGGTTTGCTTCTGCTTGATGATGATCTTTGAACCAAAAATTCTTTAACAAAAATCCTTTCAAAATCAAGCAGGGTTTTATATCATAGGCCAAGTCCACTGTGACTTTGTCACATGAATTCCTACATTTGAAGAATCCTCTTGAATAGATTTCAAGAATATTTTTTCTATTCAATTGAATCTGATTTCTCAATTTAGTTGACTGCAATAATAGTTTTCTCACAGAGGTTAAGGGAAATTGTTAGCAGAGAGAAAAATTGTGATGAGATTTCATTTCAACACATAGACTCAAAGGTTTCGACAGCTGGTGGTTCCAGTTTAACTTCCAGCCATCCCATTCCTCAGAGGAAAGCTTGCACTCTGCTCTAAGGAAGGTTGAGTTCAAAGAGACAAAATCTTGTTTTCAGGGATAGGTTGTCCAACTGTACTGAACATTATAGCTCCATCTTCTAGCTTCTTCTCAAACTCAGTATTGCTTAAATTTAATGCAAAAAGTCTCCAAGGAATATTATTTGTTTTCTGTTATAACACGGAAAGAGCATGCAAAATGCAGAGCGAGAAAGAGAATCCATGTTTGCCCTTAGGAACACAAATAGAATTAAAATACACTCTGCAATGCATTTTGCCTAGCAAAGTTTTAAAAATACTATCTCTGGAAGGAAATGCTGACTTTTTCCAGTAGAAGGTTTATCTCTGTATCAGTTTAGTTCATGGATTAGCATTTTAGTTCCCAACAGAAATGTGTTTTTTAAGTGACTCTCACAGGCATCCTCACTTACCACCCTGTGGTGGACATGCCAAAGCTATCTCAGAGCACTTCTTAGAATCAAAGAATGGTTTGGCTTGGAAGGGACCTTTAAAAAACAACTAGTCCTACCCAGCTGGACTAGGAGGACATCCTACTTGAGTGGATTTAGTTTGGGATGAAAGCAAATAAGAGAATTTTCTCTCAGTGGTGATTTAGTTTGACTCAGCTGCTAACTGGCAACAAGTCCATGAGAACAGACTAGAGCCAATCTGTGGCCAACACCCTGAAAATGTGTGTAGCATGAATCTAGAAACCTCAGTACTGACTGAGTCACCATAAAAATCTTCTGGGCCACACTGAGCAGTGCAGACCTAAACATGTAAGATGCACTGCAGTAAGAATAGCAACAAATAACATGGTTAGTAAATAGATCTGTACTTATCCACAAGGTCCACCCCAAGTGAGCACTTACAAGTCCAGTTGTGAGAACAAGCACTTCATGAAAATATTTAACTTATCTTTTTCGTTCCTTTTGATAAGATCAGCACTTTCTGATTAATTCATATTTCTAAAATTCAGATTATCCTTCTCTGTGTACTCAGTTGGGGCAATAGTAGAGCATGAAATACAATTTATTTTGCTATAAATTGTGTGCATTTCTAAGATGATTGCCAGAGTATGTCAGTCTTCTGCTCACTTTTTAGAATGCAAGGAGGTTGTCACTGGTAGAGAAGATTCTCTGGATTCTGTCACATGTAGAGAGGATTCTGAGTTTTGTACTGAACGTGGCAGACAGAAAGAGTGCATTATGATCAATATGTCTCCTTACTAAGCAAGGTACTGGGAAACCAAAAGGCAGAGGAGAGAGATGCTGGTGAATACAGAGCATGAGAATAGTAGACAGAATATCTGTCTACTTCAGCTTTTACAAAAGACCTTGACCCATGAAAATGCAGAAATAAGCTGAAGAGATGGTGAAGCCCAAGAGAGGTTTGGAGTTATGTCACAGGATTATGCAGGAAATTTTTTCTCATATATTTCAAGATAGAAGAATATCATGTAAGTGCTAGTAGCCATCTCAAGATGCCAGGTCAAAAATAAAACTAACAAAAGAGGAACATTAAAATAAATGGACTGGAAGATAAGAAAAGCTTTATTCCATCTATAGGTATTCCTTGAAAGTATTCCAATTCCTAGTTAACAACGACATCTGTACATCCCAGCTCCCTGTGGCTCTGCAGAGGACGGGTCTCTGCCGTGCCGCAGCCCCGCAGCAGATGGAGCTCTCGGCCTGCGTTTGAACTGCTTTTCCTGGGCTTAGTTTCATCTTTTTGTAATTTTTTTTTTTGGTACCTTTCCGCTTGCCAATATATTGTAGTATTAGTCCGTTGAAATTTAGAAACAAATTGAAATAGGAAAAAGAAATTTGAATTGTGTTTTTCACACTAAAAAACTTTATATTCGTTTGGGCTTTCATGCTGTATATGTCTTTTACAAAGCCACTGCTCTTGTCCAACAACCACAAAAATAACTTTTTCTATAGCTGAATTAGGCTCGAAATGAGATCATACCTGTAAAATTTATTAGATGCTCTTCTAACAAAATTCAACTTTTTATTTGAAGTTAATTAGCCATTAATTAGTAAAAAGTAACTATATTATTAGTATTATATCAGCTATATTATGTAATTGGTTTCATGGAAGATTTCATCCAAAGTTTTACCTGGGTTGATTTGCATTTTAAAATACTGGTTTAGACACTTTTTTAGTGCAGAGGATTTGAAATGCCATTCTTGTTTGGACAAAATAGTTTCTATGTTACTTTAAAGTTAAAGAAATCAGACATGTGTTCGGTTCAAGACAGCTGATAGAACAGGTGGCAGCATCCTTTTACATGCCACTTTAGCCAGCAGGGATCCTGAATTTCAGATACTTTGAAGTCTTATCACTTGATTGTTTGCATCAACTGATTTAATTCCTAGTAAAATGCCATGCTCCCCAGCTCCAGTCTGGCACAGGGGATTTGGAATGAGGAAGGTGGGACATGGTGTCTGCAGGTAGGAGGAGTGCAGAAAAGAAACCCAAGAGTTATGGGATAAGATAAGGAATAAATAAGTACAAAACAGCCTGACTGTGATGCCCTTACTAAGGGTGCTTTCCAGAAATGACTGAGAGGAGGGGCCTCAGGTTTCTACTTACAATAGTATTTAGTTTTCCTCTTTAATTTTATTCAGAAACACATAAGTCATATTTAGGACAAGGATTAAAGTCCAAGATTTCCATATTTACAAGGGGAAGTAAGGGGTTCGGTCCAACTGTGCAGGGAGTTTTTACAAGCTACTATATCAGTGGACTGGTTTCTGCAATAAAAAGAGTTTATTGATTCCCCTTTCTCTGAGAGTCATTTGGCTTTACCAAATCTTTTGAAGTACTTTAGCAGACCTCATGTTAAAGTATGCTTGCAAAGCACATTTGTTCTACTGTCTAAACATGTCCCATTATGTAAAGACAGATCGTGATTTCTGAGGAAAACATTCCTTTTCATTAAATTAATAATTCCAAAGGCACAATGGTGAAAGTCATAGACATACCATGTAGCATTCCTGGGAGAATGTGCTGGGAGAGCAAGCTTAGCGCTTCTGGAAGCTCCTTTTTCCTTCAGCAGCAAATAGACTGTGGTCAATCTGTCTTAATCTCTCAGGAGCAGAACTGCTGGGAGAAGTACCAACAGCATTTGGGATCAGGTAGCAGACAAAAATCATATAACCAGCTTGGTCATACACATTTCACAGAATGTACTGGAAACGTCCCTTAGCTTCACCATTTCGATTTAAATTTGTAAAGAAACTTCACACTCTCTCTTTTGACCTCCGAGCAATTATCTGGTTTAAAGAATTTCCAAAGAGTAGAACCTGGCAGAGAAGGAAAATCCAGCTGCCAGGAGCAGGCTGCCAAAGGTTGCCAAGCTCTGCAGTGGGTAAAGGGTACAAAGAGAGCATGACTGGTAGGGAAATTGAGCTTTTCAGCCTAGAGAGACAGCTATATGAATGCTGAAGCCAAACATAAAATAAAAACAGATAAATCAGCTCAGAAAAGCCTACTTTAGTACTATTACACTAGACCCCCTGAAAAGACAGTCAATTTTGAAAGTGCCTGCTGTGTGGGGTTTTGAGCCAGCACAGAGAAATTCAGGCGGCAAATGGGCATGAAACAGGATTATGCATTTTCTCTTCACCACCACCATGCCTGTGCTCTCCAGCTCAGTCAGTTTCTCTCTGTAGAATATTTGTTTCTGCACAACAGTTTGCCTCCGTGAAAAGAAGCATACACAGCAACCAACAGCTGAATATAACATTAAAAAGCCCAACAGAAAGTTTTCCATTTTTTCTGGTTTCAGAAGCATTGAGAAGCTCTGTGATATAGCTGTATTTGTGATTCAGGATTCACATCCAGCACCTTGGAGCAGAAACATACAATAAATAGTAAGTCCTACAATCCTAAATTGTTCTGGATATATGAACTATACTACAACAGTAAACAGGTATAAAAACATTAGAACTGTTTTCAGAGGAAAAGTCAGTGTAGACAGGAATGATTCAATGTAAGAATCACTGAAAATTATTTGAATGTATTATTCTGCAAATTATTCTGCAACAAGATTGACCAGCACTGTGAGAAATCAGCCAATAAGCTTGTAGGTAGCTCTTCTTGTAAGAAGAAATAGGAACTCAGTTGCATAATCAGTCAGCATCACTGTTCTTTTTTGACAAAACAAAAGAGGGTGAAAGAGCAAACCCACGAATGTACAAATACACTGTCAACATCTAGGTCTGTGTTCATTCAACTTGTTTTAATTAGAGGAAAAGCTCTGGTGAGTCTGCCTGTACTAAGGGCTCACCTAAGCAGTGAGACAATGAGAAACTGATCTCTGTGCTTGGAAGGATGATTTCTGAATACATCTCCAAGGTTTCCCCACGTTCTGCCATCACCAGGGACTGTTTCACCAGTGCTCAACCACAGAGCAGAATTCTGTCATCCTACACCTCTGTCCCCTCCATGCATCTCAAGGATAGTGGCTGTTATGAGCAGGTCTAGAGCTAAAATTTTTTACTCCAAGAGGTGTCATTCACCTTTAAGCTATTTAACATGCACTGTCTGTAATTATGAGAACAACCTTGGCCTGGCCTAGAAAACACTCATGAAGGGAGGAAGAATACTGCCTTTCCCAGAGTGAGAAGAAACAGTCTTAGAAAGTGATTAACTAGAGTCACAAAACCACAGATCATGAAGAAACCTCATGAAACATTTTAATGTATGGCCTCTTTCCAATCCTGGGGATTCCTGCAAGCTGTGAATATACCTGAAATATTAAGTGAGATTTTTACCTCAGCACAAATGCCTCCTCCAAGTCACTACTTGCCTTTCCTGAAATAGTGCAAGTAGAGGAATTACGTGGACAGGACTCTAACATTTTCCTCTTCTCTTTAGGAGAGAAGTTGATATTATACAGACCAGATTCTAAGTTTACACCTTTATCCTATACTTGTCTTCTTTTTTTAACTCCTTGTCCCTGAGGAATAATGCTCCTTTCAAACTATGATGTTTAATTGGCTTATTTACTGTTTTGTGCCAAAAGAAATAAGCTTGCATGGAATCCCTGTCAGCAAAAAACAGTGCACGTTGCAATTCTTACTCCTGATCTTGAAGAGCTCTACTTGATGTCAGCGGCATTTGTCCATGAGATGAAGATCCCTGTCCAGAGCCTCTCTCATTATCTTGTAACATAGTGGGGGAGAAGTTATATCACAGCTTCCTATCATCACTGCAGTTGTAAGAGCTTCTGCAGCCTATTAGTGGCCACTCATAACTTTTGTGAATGACAACAATGTTATGATCATCATCATTTTTACATATATGGATCACATTAACCCTAACAGATTGCTGAAAACCACCTACAATTATCAGAGTGTATTTCTAATCAAAATCAGCAATAAAAAGTTCACCATCAGAAACTATTTACGAGCTACTATGAGAAAACTTTTGTCCCCCATCTTCTATTCTTCAGTAAAATCCCTGCTTCTCTCAGACCTTGAAATTAGGTCTGAAACTGGAGCCTAACAAGATAATAATTTTCTACTTGTCCTTTATCACTGTAAATGTCACATTTGTGTGGAAGGACAGTAGAACACAATGCATCTAGGGAATGCTGCAACAAAGGTCTGCTGCAGCTCATTTCCCAAGGCTGAAAGTGAGCACCTTGAAACAAGGCTCTAAAGGCACCTGAACAATGAAAAATGTTCAAGCATTTTCTCATCATAAAAATGGCTTCGCATTTTGGATTCCTGAATGAAAAAATATGAGGCCATATTTGTCAGTATTTCACTGGCTTGATGCTCACTGTTTCTAGTCTCATTTGGGGCTACCACAAGCATGAATCAGGAAATAAATACAGCATTCACAGAATAGGAGTTTTAGCCTGTCCTAAACCTCCATTATATCCACAAATCCATAAATTTTCAGACACTAGCTCCTGCCTGGAGTCTGGAGAAAGGTGAAGACAAGGTGAATAGGGATGATCCACTACAAAAGTAAATTCACAGCATGGCAGCCCTGTATCAGCTGGACAGGGTAGATGGTAAATTGGAGTGGGTGTCACCTCCCACCCCCTGGATTTCTCCACCTCTTTATACAGTGTTATGCTACTGGAGACATCAGACACGAATGTGGCAAGAAAAGGTTTTCTTCTTTCAGAAAGCTTTGGGAGGGCTCTCCCAATGTTTAAGCTAACATAAGCTGTCAAGAAGTCTAGATTGAAACATCAATAAAAGATGAGGCATTAAATGTGGTTAATTTCACAGAGCCTCAGGAAGAAGTATGTTTGTTCTCTAACACTGTACAAGATTCCTGTTTAGTGTTAGATGGGCAAATGTCTGCTACCCACATCCACACAGATTTTGAAGACTTTCAATATCAGTCATCCACATCACAGCCAGCTTCTGGCTCCTGGCAGCGTGGTCAAGTCCTCTGGCAAGCTCCATCACTGCACCCACTCTGGTTGTGTAGAGAACTGTGCTGTACTGAACCACACACACCTAGCCACGACCCTCTTAATGTCTGGGCTTACAATCCTGCTCAAAACGAATTTAAAGCTTGTGAAAAAAATGCTTGAGAAATTTTCCTCAGGACAGAAGTCTCAGTCATCCACAGAAGATGTAACAGTAATGCAGTGAAGCACCTTGAAGAGATGAATGAGGAGCAGTTCAGCCTCCCACAACTGCTTCCTCCACACTTGGCTCTGAATGCCAGCAAGCTGGGGTGCAGGTGTGTGTTTCTGCTTATGCCCAGTGTCTTAGTCAGACACACATTTATATGGAACAGAATGGCAAAGACAGCCATCTTTTGATTCAGGCTAAATATGAGCAGTTTCTAAGGTGCCTTGCCACTACTTTCTGATTGTCTCCCAATAACGCCTCAGATTTCTAATTCCAAAGAAGCTAAAGTTTTTACCTGTTTTCACTGTCCAAAAAGTAATGCACTAGAAATGCGGAAAGGATAAAACTTCAGGGTCACAAGCCACACTAAATCAGTGAAGAGCTGACATCACTGAGAGCTGTGTTTGTGGAACAAGGACAGTGCACAACAGTACTCTCAATGATGACTTATAAATGTTTCTATCAGCTTTTCATGGATAGGCTTAATGGTATTATCTGTGTCCTTAACAGAATATTCAACAAATGGAAAATTTGTCTGATAACCCACTCTACTGAACAGCGTGTCCTGACAGCTAGGGACTCCCACTGCACCCCCTCAACTGAAATAAACCAATTTTGCCAATGTCATTTTTCACCAACTGAAGCCTTTCCACCTCATTTTTGTCTCAGTGACAGCCCATCTCCAGTAACCACCATTTACACTGACAACAATCTCCTTCCACCACATGCTCCACTTGTCAACATCAGCCACTTTGTTAATATAAAAGTAGTTTTTTGGAATTTTGCTCAGAGTCTCACTCAAGTGTAACCGTATAAGATGCATCTTCCTTCAAAATCCTCATCTTCTTTTGCACTGCTTTACTTAGCCAGATAAAGGTCCATAAATTAGAGCCACATTTCCTCTTCCAAATATATTTATTTGTTATCATAGAATCATAGAATGATTTGGCCTGGAAGGAACCTTCAAGATCACATAGTTCCAAGCTCCCTGCCATGGACAGGAACACATTTCACTAAACCAGGTTGCTCAGAGCCCCTTCCAGCCTAGCCTTGCATATCTCCAAGGATAGAGCATCCACAGCCTCTCTGGACAACCCGTTCCTGTGCCTCAGCACCCTCACAACAAAAACCTTCTTCCTAGTATCTAATCTAAACCTGCTCCCTTTAACTGTGAAGCCAATCCCCCTTGTCCTATCACTACATGCTCTTGTGAAAAGTCCTTCTCCAGCTTTCTTGTGGGCTCCCTTCAGGTACTGGGAGGCCACAATTAGGTCACCCTGAAGTCTTCTCTTTTCTAGGTTAAACAGATCCAATTCTCTTAGCATTTCCTAATGTTAGAGGTTCTCAATCTTTCTAATCACCTCGGTGGCCCTACTCTGGACAAGTTCATGTCCCTCCTGTACTGAGTTGCCCAGAGCTGGATGCAGCTCTCCAGGTGGGGTACACCAGAGAAGCATAGAGGGACAGAATGCCCTCCCTCATCCTGCTGGCCACGCTGCTTTTGGTACAGCCCAGAATACAATTAGCTCTCTGGAGTGGAAATGCACACTGTCAACTGACATCCAGCCTCTCATCCTCCAACATAGATGTGTGCAATTGAAGACAATGCAAAAGCAGTGGTTCTCATTTCTGTATTTCTTCTTATCTTATAATTTCCCTTTAAATTCCCACAAACCTAGGATGCAGTCTCATTTAACATCTTTCTGTCTCGTTATCCATTTCCAAACCAGGCAAACCAACTCTGGAGTGGAACTTCAGTGTAGGTATTGTGAAAGAAGAAAGGCAAGGAGTATGGAAAGATGTATATCTTCCAGTGGAGAGTGGTGGATCAGTGGGCACCCTCTGGACACCGGGGACATTTACTGGGATGAAGGTTGTCCAAAGGACCCCTGTTATCAGAGCCACCCATCAGGGACACCCGCTCCATATTCTGCTGATAAATTTGGTCTTCCTGACCTTCACCTATTTTACCTGTTGTATGTCAAAGAGACATTTCCTTGCATTTCAGAGTCCAAGGCCAGGTATAGCAGTTAAATGGAAGTCAAGCAGGACATTTTGAAGACTTTAGGGAAAGATCAGATAGCTTTACTGATACTGTATAAGCATGGAAAGGCAAAACATAGGACTCCCAGGTCATCTGTTAATTCATGGAGCCTAAGAGGCACAAAGCAATGAATCATGAGGGAAAGAATCCTAAAACCAGCAAAAATGCTTGGTGCTCCTGCTTTCAGTCAATACCCCATACACATAAATAAACATTCTGAAAACTAATCAGGGAGTTTCTGTTTATCACACTTGTTGGCTGGCAGTCTTTCTGCTTGCTAAATGCACTAAGAAACTTGTCTATTGCCCCAAGACCTGGATCCAAGCAAAAGCGCAGAAGCCTGCTTGGAAGGTTTTGAAGGTTTTTGAAGAAACAGGGAAATTGAAATTGGAATCCATCAGTGGTCAGCTTTTTCCCTCCCAAAGTCTCAGACTTCCGGTCTCTTTCAGGACTGTTGCATCAGGAGGTGTCTTCTCCTGGTCCTGGCAGATATAAAAAGGAAAGTAGGCATTAGATAAATTCAAGATAAACAGAGGACTAGAAAGAAAAGATATCACTACCAGACCTACCATAACTGTTCCAGGCTTGGATTATTTACCCACTTTTGTATATTGATTCACTGTTACAGATCTGCACAATTTTTTTCTCACAATCTCTCTTTTATTTTCTCCATCTGCCATTTTTGTACCATTCCTCTCAGCCCTTTCTTGTCCTCTCCCTCAGGCCAGAAGTACATGCTGTGCAATAGTTGTTTTCTCTGGCTTTTCAATCATACAGGTATATACAGACAGACAAATCCATATATTTGAGAAGACAAAGACAAAGCACTTCATTGCTTCTTCATTAGGAGCAGATGATGGTGAAATTTGTGGTGATTGTCATGACTCACTTCAATGTGGGCCCTGAGAACTCTGTCCTCTGTGCAGACAGGTTCTGTCTCAGTGCAAATGACCCACTTAGAGAGCACTGCAGTTCTTCAACTGGATCCTCATCCCAAACCTCTCTGTTTTGCAGGCCATTGAAAGCCAGTTAGAATGTAAGACCAGCCCTGGGAGTAGGTTTGATATTCTACAAAAACATGGTGTAACTTCACAGAGGTGTGATATCCTTGTAGCAGCCATCCAGAAAGTTGCTTCAGGGCTCTGTGCCAGCAGGAGCATCAGGCCTAGGAAAGCAGAGTTGTATTGCATCCTTGTTTTTTAAATGGCCCTTTTGTTGCCTAACCAGAGATATGAACTCTGGCAGCTAACTTGAGATAATGTAAAGCTTTGCTGAGGCTGCTAGAGTGCTTGGCATCAGCAAGGAGACCAAAGAGTAAACTTCAGGTGAGTGGCAGCTCAGTGCCTCTCTAGAAAGGAGGAATCCCATCCCTATCCATCAGACAGCCCCCTGGAAGGACTCACAAGTCTGTCACTCCTCTTGGCCCTGTCACCTTTCAGATGGTAAATTAAGATTTAAATGAACACATGGATGTTGGGATCCAGTGTGATTTCACTTATCCCAGACACCATGTAAATATGTCTTGTAACTTTTCTGGTCAGTGCTTGTTCCCTCTGGTACATAATGCTGCTTAACTCATAAGAAGGGGTACTAGCAAATGAAATAAGAACAATTTGTCTTAGGTCATGACACAGTTGACAATGTCACTGGTCATAACACTGAAGCTTTAAAAAGGCCTAACAACATGCCATTGCAATGGAATAAATAAATTGGAGATGACTTTTGAATCATATGAAATGAATAACAAATCTTTTTCTGCTGTAATACTAAAGCCCATGTTCTGAAACAAATTTACCTGACAGGCCAAAAAGGATTGTTGATATTGTATATATGCTAGTACACACACAGAAGACTTGAGAAGCTCACAAAACCAGCATTCCCAAAATTATGCAACCCAGAATTAAAGTTTTTCATATACCCTTTATTTTATCTGTTTATGAATGATACAGTCATTAGTTAAATTTTGAAAGTT